AACATCCTTGCTTAAACCAGTATTTTCTACCAGGATTAAATCACTTGGTATTTTTAAACCAGTTATCATAGTTTGGCTCTCTGGGCCAAGCAGTAATACAGATGGAGCACCATCATATTTAACATCTCTGGGTAAACTTGTCTGTTTTCATACTGTGGAACAGGGCCTTCTGGATAAATTAGGTATTGCCCTTCATCTTTCCTTAAAAAAAGTATGTTCCTCTAATTCTAAATAGTTTAATGAGTTATAAAATGATAATGTAGATAAGGTTTTTCTTTATCCCAACAATTTAACATTTTTTTCCCAGTTACTATCTTTGTGTGTATCTAGGAATTCTTTCAATAAAAAGATTTAAAACCCAAAATAGGTACTATATAATTTGGGAAATGCAGGAGAAAGATATTTATTGAGCACGTGTGGTGTACCAGACTGTTCAGATGCAGATGTGCTCCCTGTTCCAGGGAGTTTACAAGCAAAATAAAATAATAGGCCATACCATTTATAACAAACTCAAGAACATTGTTGGAGCAGCAATATAAATATAACACAAACTCAACCACAGAAGTCCCATTTCAACCCTTTCATCAACTTCCTGCCAAATACAGATTAAAACTTGGGTCTTGTGGTTAACGAACTTGGGTCCTGAAGGTTAACAAATTTGGGCTGTTAGTAAAATAAGTTTTAGTATACAAGTTAACTTTCTTTCCTCACTATTTCTCAGTTGCCCTGAAAGGAATATGACAGATACTTTTGTTGTAGCTTGGCAAGCTCCTCTCCTTCCTGAAATGCAGATTTATAATTTTTACTGCAGTACTCCCCAACTATACAGTAATTACCTCTTACAGTGAAAAGTAACTAGGCCTCTTTTTCCTCTTTCTACAGTAATGGAAGACTACAATGTCATAAATTATGCTAAGTCACAACTACAATGGTATAAATAGCTTCTGGTACAGAAATGCAGAACCCAAAGGGTCACTTACGAAAATGTTTAAAAGCTCAGCTATTTCATACCTAATTCAACTTTTTTTTTTTTTAACAAGAAAATCTCTGCAGAAATTGGCATGAGTGAGTATTGCAAGATGTAGGGAGAAGTTGCTGCTTTAACCATCCTATTGCCTTAATTATTCCTTCTTTATGTTGTTTGATTTCCAGAGATATTTGTCAGTTTGGGACTATTTTACTGTGTTTTAAGTCATAAAATGGGCACTTCTTTACTTTATGGTCTACCAGAAATCTAGCCTGCTGAAGTCCCAAACCGTAACTTTTTTAAGGAAGGTAAATCCTATGATGACATTTAGAGTCTCTTTATTTTTAAAGGCTTGTTTGGGTCCTCTGCAACAGAAATATAAGTATTGATTGCTGAGGACCCCAAAATAATTTATTTTTAAATATAAAAAGTGTGTGTGTGCGCGCTTGCAGCGCACATGCAATGCATCCTCCAGGAATTTTGCCCGAAACTTACCTTCCTCAGTGAAAGCAAATTTTGAGGGCCTGAACTAGTTGAACAGTAATATCCTTTTTTAATTGTTAAGCTTAGAGGGGCTGAATTTTTTGACTCAAAAATGTGTTTTTAGAAAATAAACGTAAAAATAACCCATTAAACCATGAAATTATGTGGCTGTATGCAGCTGGGTCATAAATTAATTGTACTCAAGCAGGGTTGGGGAATAGCTTGCCTAAAACAGACAATCCTCTTTACTGATTGAACCTGTATGCTGTTTACTTTAACCCACTTGTCACGCAACTCACGGAAACCCGAAATTTAATTGTTTTATGAAGTGCTTCCTCATGTGTCAATGCCTAACTTATAGGCACTTTCAGTTATATTATATACCGTATATTTGAAAGATCTTTCCCAAAAAATTTCTAACAAAGAGCATTTGAAAGTGTGAAACTCCAGTTTAATGCAAATAAAGGGCTCACCTTCTCAAATAAGAGCCTTCTTAATGTGTGGGTTTTTTTGTTGTTGGGTTGTTGGGTTTTTTTTTGTTATACAGGCACCTCTTTAAAGTGTGTTGTTTTTTTTTTCTTGGCTGATGGCGTCTGTGGTTTTCAGAAATGTTATGACTACTGCAAAGCAGTTATATACTTTTACTGGTTACTATAAAATCAGCCTGAGTTTACAGCTTTCCTGATGTTGGTTTATTTTTTTATTTTATTTTATTTTATTTAATTTTTTAGTAAAAGGTAACATTTTAAAGCTGCAGTAGTGAGTGAAGTGCTTCTTAAAGCCAGTATTATGCCAATTTCAATCCTTTTAAGAAAAACTTTAAGGTCACCTGTAAAATACTGTAATTTATATACACCCCACACACATGCAGGCATTATGGTTTTAATTTTACCTTTTTAAAACTTTTTATTAAAAAGTTTCTTTGAATTTTATTTCTTTCCCCAAAGATACAGTAGAAGGAATTACCACTGTTGGTGTTGTACATAAAGAATTTGAATTGCATTTTCCAATCATCTTGATTGTATAAGTACAGTATAGGACAGCAAATATTACCGTGCTTTGGGAAATCGTTGGTGTACTGGTCTAGATTTCTCTAAAATTTACATTTAGTAAAGTAAATGTTTAGGCCTCACATTATCCTCCCATAAAGGATTAATGGTATTGCATCATCTCTGAGGGGAAAAAAATGAATTCAAATGAAAGGGGATAGATATGGGCAAAAAGGCCTGCACAGTAGGCAAAAGTAAACTGATTCTGCAGCTTATTTACATTAATTTTCTTAGTATGTTAATAAATATCATTATTTCAAAGACCAAAATAGAATATAGATCAAAATATCACGATATAATTTGCATTCCAATTTTCTGAGAGTATAAACTGAGTCGGATATTGCCGCATATGTAACATACACCACATGTCAGCTGTTTCCTGCTTCACTGCTGACAAGAGCCCCATTCATAACTCTCTTCTTTTTATCCTTTCAGTGAATAAGTAATTATTCAATATAGAAGGCAGGATATTTGGAACTGGCTATTTAATGTGGCAGCACACCGTAATGAAATCTGCTGTTACTGGCAACCTGAGAGGGGAATGTAACAATTCCAGCATGGCTGTAACTTTATCTGCTTTGACGGCCTGTTTATTTGGCACATCAGTGAACCTTTTATCCCAGTGAGTGACAGCTCCAGAAGGGTCACATTTACATCCATTCTATCATGTATTGTAATATTTAATGGCGGACAAGGTTGAGTGGGACTCAGGGTAATTTGAACTTGCTTTTCCACAGAGTGGAGGCTAAGAGACAGCTTGATCCCCAGTATTGTGGTGTAACACATTCCATGACTTAGCATTTGTTTATGAAGGATAATCAATTAAAAGCAGAGGGAAAAACTTTCAGCTGTCAAGTACAGTTTGTTGCTACTTGCGCCATCAAACTAAAAACGAAGTGCAAACTATTTTACACTGTTAAGACGTGCTGATCAGTTTTTCACTATTGCATGTACTTGTACAGACAAGATACTCTTCTTACAGATCTCTTAACATTTTCTTTGTATCATCTACATACATCCTAATTATTAGTCTTTCCAATAGTTTATGTTGTGGAAGAGATTGAGGAGGATGAGTTTCTCTGTGACAAAGTAATTGGAGTGAAAAAAACCCCCAGTTGTCCTGCTATTCCAAATATTTTTCCTGGATTCAGTTCTGTTAGTTAAGAATTATGAAACTCTTAAGGCGAAATGAGAGTATTCACTAGAATTGACTAATGGCATAACACCATGATGAGTGTATTACTAATGGAGTATATGCTTTGAAGCTAATTTAGTGAAATTTGATTTGCAGATGAAACAATATTAAAACAAAGTTTTCAGCATTAGTTTTAATTTGGTTGCCCAGTCAGGTCTTGATCCTACAAGGTGCTGCAGAGTCGTGTCCTGATCCAGCAAAGCTTTTAAGCACATGCTTAAATTTATGTATATGAGAAGTCTCTCTGACTTCAGTTGCACTATTCACATGCTTAAGTGCTTTACTGGATTGAGGCCAGAGTGCTCAGCACCTTATAGGATCAAGCCCTCAATGGAAAAGTAATTTCTTTTAGCTGGCAGTCAGTATATAAGTACTTGTTCAAATTAAGAAACATAATAAACAATCCTTTCCCCCCACATTAATGTTTCTCACTTTTTCTTCATTTGTCTGCTATGAAACAAAGGCTGCCATCTGGTTTGAAGACAGCGTGTGTCTCTTTTATAACATGCTTTTTTTTACTCAGTTCTTAAGGCCTGGAAACTCCTAACTCTAGGCGTCCTGCATAACTTGCTACTAAACTGTCCTGGCTTTTTTCATTGTAATAATTTGTCACAGGTAAATTAGAGGTAATTGGCCATGCTTGATGGCAGAAAATGAACCTAAAGTAGAAAAACTTTCCTAGTGCATTGTAAAAATTAGTTTAAAATTCTCTCTCTTTTCTGGCACAAAGGAATAAATAATTAAAATGTCATGTACAAAATAATGTTATTTTACTGGCATAGCACTTGAGTTTAACCACAATCTGGTTTGTTTAATTCCTGGAGAGACAGTGAACGGTACCAGTAAACCTTTCTGTATGTAAAATTAATAGATGGTATAACCAAGGACATGCATCAACTTTGCTACTAAATTTCGTATGTTGATTTCGATGGTAACATTTTAATTTCCATCAAAGTAATGGCATATTAACCTGGAAAATATTATGCTGACTGGCAAAGAATATATAAAGAAAAAAGCAGATGGAGAATTTGGTAATCACTTATGTTTTTTTACTTGAGAGATACTCTCTTTTCTATGATAACTTTTTAAAAAAAATTACCTGCAGACTCTCTTAGAAATTATTTTGAGATTTTGTAATGTTTTGTGTATACTTTTAACTTGAGTCCACTATTCAAAGTTTGATAGATTAATTAATGGGACGTTTTGAACCACCCTAGAGGAAAACTCTCAATGGTCAATATGGAGATTTAGTATATGCAGTTTGCAGTGGTAATGTCCTAATAAACTTTCCGTGTTTTGGTTACAGTCTCCTGGTCCCTGCACACAGTGTTCCTGTTCTTCTGCAAAAGAAAATGGTAAAAATGTTAGTAATGCAAAGAGGAAGGAAAATGGAGGAAAGCCACACATCCCCAAAATATTTTTTGGAACTCGAACACACAAGCAAATAGCTCAGATTACTAGAGAGCTGCAGAGGACAGTGTACTCCAGTGTCCGTATGACAATTCTTTCTAGCCGGGATCATACCTGTGTTCATCCAGTGGTATCCAGAAGTAGTAACAGGAATGAAAAATGCGCAGACTTGCTGGAAGGAAAAAATGTGAGTAGTTTTGTTTCAGAAAATGAGTATTAATTAAAAAATATTAATGAAAGATTTAGCTGCCTGAGCAGCTGGATTGAGTAACATTCTAACTTCTTAATGGCACACTGGTTGGAAGCCCTTTTGTAACTTCTAATTCATTTTGCATTAGACCATTAATCTTCAGTAAATCTTGATTCACAGCATCAAAATTTAAAAAGTGTAATAGTTTATGACAATATATGATTATAGTTTTAATTTGGGAGCTTAATTATAATTGCAATAACCTTTGCTTTCTCAAAACTTATTTCCTTTTTAAATTAAATTAAATAATCCATTCAGGCCTGATTTCTCTCTGCTTATTCTTTTATTTTATTTTATTGAGCGTATCTGGGCATTGAAGATGATTAGAATGCATGGGGGTAAAATTATTGTAATAATTCTCTAGTTGCAAAATTAAGAGGATAGGGACTTAATTACCTGTGTTATGTAAGTAGTAATTTAGAGCCTTTTCTCATGTGGATAACCCACCACAAATCCAGAACAAATAATCTGCTAATGATGCTAGCAGAGATACACTGTGCTTGCTCACCCTATGATAATAAGTGTTATTGATAACATAATTTGTTCATCATCATCTTGGTTAACCAAGTTTAGGATTTCTGCTTGCCATTTCAGAGTTGTTTTAAGAGTATCTTGTTTCCTTTCCACTTTTGCTGCCTGCATTTAAAATAAATAAATAAAACTAGACTGCAAAAGCACAGCAGAATTTATTTATTTACAGATAATCTGCAAAGCCTAACAAAATTGCCATCTTTTGCTGCTTCATAGTGTATATAGAAGTTCTGAAATGAATGTTCCAAAAAGTAGTGTGTTTCTGCTTGTTTACACATTTGAAATATCAGGTCTGGACTTCCCTGTTTTTGCTAGAGGACAAGAAAATAGTTGGCTTGGCTGCACTTCAGATTGAACAAGACTAAATCTTAAGAAATTGAGAGGGGACGGGATTTTTATATCACTGTTAACACCGTTTTGTTTTATAATACTTATTTTAATTCAAGCTGCTGACAAATACTTAAGAGAAAAGCTCTTTGTACAGGTTTCAATCCTTCCCTTATTCCCTGTTCCTTCAGTTGTGAGCTGAGCAACTCTTATTCCAGTTTTCTAGTCCTTCAAGAAGTCCTGCAGCAAAACCTTGATATTGATAGTTGTAAGGCAAGTAGAAAATTTTTTCCAGCTGCCTCTATTCCCTGTAAGGAAGCTAAAAAGGGCACACACACTTTTTTTTTCTTTGTTCGTCACTTTTAAAATATATCAGCACCACACATACATTGATCATAAATGTAGGAAGATTAGTTGGGAGTCATTATATGCCAAAAATAGTGTGTCTATAAGCAAATTAAAGGTTTTAATAATTATGTGTATGTACATCCAGTAAAAGGTTTTTGCTGGTTTCCAATGTACGACTCAGACTGTAGAAAACTATTGAGGCTGATAGGAACAGCTTTTGTTGTCTCCACTGGCAAATTGTTTTGAAGGATATATGGTCATACTGTACCTAGTTTCTGTTTTGTCCTCTTGTTGGGGCTTCAAGTTTATTTTGTATTCATCAAGTATAAGTGAGCATTTGCTTTTTATGCTCCCAAGCTCTAAGGGTAAATAGTAGTGGTAATGAGAGCCAATTACACTGTCACTTTAGGTGTCTGTGTTAACCAAGACTATATTACAGAAGTGAGCTGATAAGCAGATAACTGACAATTTGTGAGCGAAAAGGCACTAAGTGTGATAACATTTCAACTGACAATCTGCCCCTTAGGGTTGTGTTACACTGTTAAAAAGGGATGGGCTTTCCTGTTCATGTTATCAATCTTCATATGACTAGGCAGCCTTAATTGCCTCTAGTCTAAAGTATATCTTTCCAGGGATTTATTCTCTTCTTGGTGGTTTTGTTTACTTAAAAGTTCATCAAAGAAAAGATAGAATTCACAGCAACTAATTTTATAGTTAAAAAAAAACAAAAAACTATACTCAGATTGACTAGAACAGAGAAATAATAGTTGTTTAGTTATACCGTAGGGACACCAGTGTTAACCAGTATTAAAATTTTAAAATTCTCCACTCCTCCCTGTAATTCCAGGGTATTATCTCCAACCCATAAATTAAGATTTGCCTATCCAATCTCTCTCCTACCCCTCCAGAAAAAAAAAACAAATAAACCCAAACCAACCTCGAAATGATGTACTTGAACATCAGTGGAAGGACTGCTGTCAAAGTCATGAGCAGAACAACTATTATTTGCTTTTATTGTTAAACACGACACCCTCCTGAGCTATTAGCACAGAGGAGACATACAAATGAACAAGCTCAGGTGGATTCTAATGTGATTTAAATTCACTAGACATTTCTGGTTGGTAATTTGATGATTATAAGAAAGTTGATATATTGGTGGGTGGATGTGAATGTGCCATATTATTTTATTTTCTATCTTTCCTAGTTGAATTAACCATATGTATTTGGATTTATTAATTAATTGCTCATGATTTAGAATCCATCCCATCCTCTTCCACTGCCAGGGTTGCTATTTGTAAAATAGATTAAAATTTTCTTTGGGTTCACTGGGGCAAAACTCTGAAATGTACTTTACAGATTTAGGTATGATAGGTTATAGATCCTGTCATATTTGCCTGCTTCGTTTCTGCCATTATATTTGTTGTTGTTAAAGTCCAAAAGATAACAAGCACTTTTTAAAATACCTCAGCGATTGAGATGAAGTAAAAGATTACAAAATAAGAGGTTTTTTTGTTTTGTTTGTTTTACAAAAAAATGTAAGTTCACGTGCATCATTGTTCCTAGTACAATATTTTGTTTTCAAACTTGCACATATTTCCTTTTAGGGTGGGTCCTGTGTTTACTACCATGGTGTCCATAAACTTAGTGAACATCATGCTCTACAGTTTGCACGTAAGAAGTGTCAGGCTTGGGACATAGAAGATCTAGTAAGCCTGGGAAAGAAGCTACGTGCATGTGCGTATTTTGCTGCTCGAGAACTCATGGTGGGGGCAGATATTGTATTTTGTCCTTACAACTACCTGCTGGACCCACAAATAAGAGAGAGTGTAAGTATATTTGTAAGTAGGGCTTGGTCTAAACTACAAACTTATGTCAGTATAATTATGTCGCTCAGGAAAATCCACACCCCTTTGCCACATAGTTATGCCGACCTAACCATTGGCGTAGACAGTGCTATGTTGACAGAAGGGTTTCTCCCATCGACCTTGCTACCGCCTGTTGGGAAGGTGGATATCTATGCTGAAGGGAGAAACTCTCCTGTCGGCCTAAGTAGTGTCTTTACTAAGTATTATAGTGGTGCCTCTGCAGTGTTGTAAGAGTAGACAAGCCCTAGATTTTGTTTGTTGCATTGACTGAAGTTAAAGCGCGATGAATAAAGAATGTGATAAAGGCACATGGTCAACTTAAAGCCACATTCCTGTCTGAATACTTGCTAGTGTTACAAGTAACATCTAAATTAAAGAGATTAAAGAATATTTTTCTTTTCTTTTGCAATTTCCTTATTTTGTACATATGACAGTACCTCTGGTAATAGTCAGTTTCACTGTTTTTTCCATTGTAGCTAATCAGTTGTGTGGATTTTTTACACAACAACAGAAGAGAAACTTCTAGGATGGCATAACTACAAAAAGTGGGCATGGGGGCTTAGCGAAGGTGTAAAAAGTGAAAATACTTTTATTTCATTAAAAAAAAAAATCACATTTCAACCTGTCTGTCCTTTTTGCTATTAATTATACAGTACCATAAAAGTACATTTTACAAACTCTCTGCCCCTATAGTATTTACAGGTAAGGACCAAATTCTGTCATTTATGCTGGCACCAGGTTTCAGTTTTGTGAAAAACCTAGCTAGTTCCTATGCTACAGAAATTCTGTCAGGCTCTAAAAAATCACTTTTCATTGCTTGTACAAGTGACACAATTTGGACAGATTTTTTTTTAAACATGAACCTACTGGCTGTTGTTTACTCATTTTACTGGACAATTGTTGTCTTTTGCAGATGGAGATTAACTTAAAAGACCAAGTAGTCATTTTAGATGAAGCTCATAATATTGAAGATTGTGCACGGGAGTCAGCCAGTTACAGTGTTACAGAAACACAGTTGAGATTTGCTCGAGAAGAACTTGATATCATGGTCGTCAACAACATCAGACGGAAGGACCATGATCCCCTGCGGGCTGTGTGCTACAGTCTGACAAAGTAAAGCCTATTTAAAACAAACAAACAAACAAAAAACCTACTGTTTATAGTTCTTCTATGAATATCATGTACTAGAAGACACACTGCATAATTGACAAGAAGACTTACAGATATACCTCAAACGCTATAGTCCACAAGCCAGACCTCTTGTTTTTCTCATTTTGGGCACCCAAGAAGGATTTGTGGCATTTATGAAAATTAATTGTTTAATGGATCACGGGAATATTTTCAAAAGTCCGATTTCCAGAAGTAACTTAGGCTCCTAAGTGCCTAACTCACTTTTTTCAAAATGGGATTTAGGTTCTTAGGTCATTCAGGTGCTTTTGAAAATTTTACTCCAAGACTTGGGCAAATCCATCTAAATTTTCTGTGCATTTCCCCATCAGGCCAATCACAGGGATTTTGTGAGAATTAATGTTTGTAAAATGCTTTGTGAGCCTTCTATGGAAGGTGTTATATCAGTACAAAGTAGTGTTAAGTCAGCATTAGAGAAACTTATGTTCCCAGAGGAAATCTTCCCCCTTAAGGTAGAGAAAAATTCTATGCAAAGTGTTTCAAGTGTTGTGAGAGTACATCCTCTGCTGGTTTAGTAAAAGACAATTGGAGTTTGCTTTAACTAAAGGCAGGGCAGGTAGCAACGCCTAGTTAAGGCTACCCAACACTTATCATTTGCCTGTAATTTTGCCAAACACAAATCGTTTGGGCTGATAAAATTTCCCAGGCAGGATGTCTGCCTAAGGCTGAATTTTTTTTTTTTTTTTAAATTTCACCTAAAATAACTCAGCCGTTTCTGAGAACAAGGTCAGGGAGAAATGTTCTTTTTCCCTGGTTAAAAAAAATAAAATCTTACAACTGTTTTGCTGAGAATCTCTAGTGCCTCCATGCTTCAGAACAGGGACAATTTGTCAAGTGGGGACACCTTGGTGTCAAGCATCCCTGTGAAAATTTGCCCAAATCTGGTATAAGGCTCTGAAAAATTGCAGTGTGCACATGCTGAATAGAGACATTTTAGTGTTTGGCAGCTAAATTCTCCAAAGATTCTGTCTGCACTGATCATGTGCTACCCTCTCACAGCTTCTGTCTGTGGCCAGACTGTGCTTGTTTTGGCCCCACAGACCAACTAGGCATGCTCTCTCCCTTGGCTGCAGGAGCTACATAGGACTTTACCTGCAATTGTTCTTTCCAGTAGCCACTGTGAAGCCATGCACAGGAACTGAGAGCAGGGGGAATCCTGTTTTCTCAGTGCTCTCCCTGCTGGTGCCCATGTGTTGTGGAGTGGAAAGAGGCAGCAACCTAACTTGAATGCACAGTGGCGAGGAACAGGGGCAAGGCATAAGGGATAGGAGCCTGAGGGGAGCATGGTGGGGTTAGGAGCAAGAACTGGCAGGGAGGAACAAGGACAGAAGATAGGGGAGGGGAGAGGAAATAAGAACAAAGGGGGAGGCGAAGGACAGGAGCTATGGAGTGGAGAAGATCAGAATGGGTGAAGAAGAACATGGACAAGAGTTGGGGGCAAGACAAGGAGACAGAGCAGGTGGGCAAGGGCAGGAGTTGAGTGAGAGGGGGACGAGTGTAGGATCTGGACAAGATGGGTATAGAAGCAGAAGGGGCAGGGAGAGGCTGGGAGAACAGTGGCAGAGGATCTATAACCACTAGAACTTGGAACTGAACCTGTTATTGATGAGTCTTAACATTCCTTTGCTGTCTAGCAAATAGCTGTGAAACCCTCTGGTAAAATGTCTCTCTCTGTTTCCATCTCCTTGTGCCAGGTCCTCAGAGAAGTAATAGCCTTCTTCTGTTACCAGTTACTCCATTAGCTTAAGTGGTAGTGGATAGTGTTGTGGATCTAAAGATCCCAACCCTGCTGATGTTATGGAGGATGCATGTGGTCAGGGGTGAAAGTAACGCTGAAGACTTACCGGTATGGGGGCGGGGTTGGAGGGGGGTCAGTGTCCCCCAGCCATCCCTTCCAAGCTTCCTGGCCCACGCCACCTGGGGCTCCAGTGGTGATTTAAAGGGCCCAGGGCTCCGGCCGCTGCCACAGTAGCAATAGTGGCGGTCGGAGCCCCGGGCCCTTTTAAATCACCGGTTCCGGGGCAGCTGTTTCCCCCCTCCCCCCCATCGGCAGCCGGGAGGGGCAAAAGGGGCAGTGACATTAAAGCCAGCTGAGTACGGGCCAGTACCAGTGGCCACTTTTTACCGGTACACCGTACCGGCTGGCTTTTACCCCTGCATGTGGTTCTACGTGATGCAATTTTGTTTTTTCAGTGTTTAAGTTTTTTAAAAATTTAGGTATTTTTGGTTAAAATTTCCTACATTAAAAGAATGCTAAGGTTTCAGAGTCGAGCACTTGCCTGTATAATCTGGACTTTTTGAGGAGCCTGAGAATAAGGCCGCCTAGGCCCCCAGCAGCCCACCTGCTTGAGAGCTGGGCAGCTTGTGGAATCTAGAACATAAGAATGGCCATACTGGGGCAGATCAATGGTCTATCTAGCCCAGTTTCCTCTCTTCCGATAGTGGCCAGTGCCAGATGCTTCAGAGTGAGTGAACAGAACAGGGCAGTTTATCAAGCGATTTATCCTAGTCGTCCTGTCCCAGCTTCTGGCAATCAGAGGGCTAGGGACACCCAGAGTATGAGGTTGCATCCCTGACAGTCTTGGCTAATAGCCATTGAAGTTTCTTTCCTTCATGAACACATCAAATTCTTTTTTGAAGCCAGTTATATTTTTGGCCTTCACAACATCCCCTGGAAGTGAGTTCCACAGGCTTATTGTGCATTGTGTGAAGAAGTATTTCCTTATGTTTGTTTTAAACCTGCTGCCTATTAATTTAATTGGGTGACCCCTGGTGAAGATGTAAATAACGCTTCCTTATTCACTTTCTCTACTCCTTTTTTATAAACCTCTGTCATATCTCCCCTTCGTTGTCTCTGGGCAGTTTGCGAGTCATGGAGACGTGGATGATAGTCTGACAGAATATTAAAATTTTCCTGCAGAAAGTTAATTTTCTGCCAGAAAATTATTCCACAGAAAATGCCCAATGAACTCGAAGGGAGAATGGAAATTTCTCTGCTCCTGCTACAGAGTTTCTATGTGATGTTGAGCAAGTCACATAAATCAAAAAGCAGCCAACCTCCACCACCCACCACCATTTCATTCTCTTTTGTGTTTTGACTGTACAGTGCCATATATAATAGCTGCTACTGTAATTTAAATAATAAATAACTGGTACCCAACTGTGCATGTCCAAATATTCCAATTAAGTAATTGCCTCCTTCATCAGAAACCTATCTGAACAGTGGAATAACAATAAGAAATAACAAAAGTGGCTTTGTTTATATTAACTGAGCTTATCTTAATTACATTTGGGACAAGCATTTTGTTATAATATTGGTCTGGGAAGTGTTGCTCATTTAGGAAGTCCCTGTTTATATTAGAGATTAGGTACACCTTCAACTTCACCCTCTTTTCTTTTCCATTTGGTGCCAAGGGTTAACATTTGTGTGCCACTGAGACAGAATAATTTCCCTGTGGCTACTAATTCTCCTTTGTTGGGTCTTTCAAATGTTAAACTTCTTAGCAGCAGAGGAGAGCAACAAGGCTGGAGATTTGATCGCCTCTGGCTTTTTAACCTTATCAGAAAAACTCAGGTTGATTCTCTTGTCAAGTCTGCCAACCGTAGGGAAAGCAACGGGTGGAAAGCAAGAGACTGAGTGTAAATGACCAATAATTAGTATTATCTTTTTGCATAAACTGGCAGCTCTGGGCCCGTTAAGTGAGTAACCAGAAAAATTCTACATCCGTTTAAAAAAGTCTCTTATGTTTGATTCTAGAAAGCACTTAAGCACATGTTTTAGTGCCCTTTCCTACACTTGAAAGGATTTGCCAGTTCCCCTAGTGGAAACACAGCTTATACTAGCAAAAGAGTTCTTGCATTCTGTCTTTCTTCCTCCGTGGCTGGAATGAAGGGATGTGGTTTAATTAGGCTGATTTAACTCATCTTGGAAATACTTAGCAATGAGCTGTATGGTGCAGGTTATCACTCTTTCCTTAATCATACCAATTACAGAGGTAATGAATTGTCTGTAAAGCATAATAGCTTAAAATAAGGATTGGTGCAAGGCTACACAAATGTTTCCTAGCATTCCTGACAAATTAAAGAAACAAGTTATATTTTTATGCCCTTCTAAAATAAAGTTAAAAAATAATATATGGGGTGGGGGAAATGTCAACGCTAAGGGACAGATTTTTCTCTGACATCCACCAGCATACATCAGAAGTATCTCTAATTAAAGTCAGTGCAATTCAAAGGTGTAAAACTAGCAGAAGAGAGAACAGAATCAGACCCTAAATGCAGAGCCCTCAACCTTTTGATTAAAGATATTAAGTTGAAATAAGTACCATATATACTCGTTCATTAGCCCGTTTGTTTATAAGCCAACCCCCCAAGATGGTTAGGTAAAAATGGCAAAAACTGTATGACCCTTTCATAAGTCGACCCTATATTTCAGGAGTTGGCAAACTTTGGCTCCTGGCCTGTTAGGATAAGCCTCTAGCGGGACTGGACGTTTTGTTTACCTGGAGCGTTCACTGGCATGGAGCCCCTCAGCTCCCAGTGGCCGCAGTTTGCCGTTCCCAGCCAATGGAAGTTGCAGGAAGTGGCGCCTCTTTCCGCAGCTCCCATTGGCTGGGAAAGGCGAACCGCAGCCACAGGGAGCTGAGGGGCTCCATGCCTGTGAACGCTCCAGGTAAACAAAACGACAATGTATTAGATATTCAATTCAATGATTCCATAGAGTTTAAAATCATCAAATTTTGGTGTAGACCCGTTTATAAGCCGATGCCCGCTCTTTGATGCGTCATATTTTACCAAAAATATTAGGCTTATGAACGAGTACATAATATCACAGGTGTATGGTACAATTTGTGAAGCTCATTCAATTTTGCTTCCTGGAAACGATCATACAAGATCATTGAAATTAATGCAGGAATGATTTACAATTATTATTACTCTCTTCATTTGCAGTTGGCTGCAGGAAAGCTCTGGTCAGCTTAAAGAAAGGGGATATGAAACCTCCTGTAAAGTTTGGAGTGGAAAGGAAATGCTCACCATTTTGCACAATATGGGAATAACAAATGCTACATTTCCTATCTTGCAGGTAGAGTTTTCTGTTACAGAATTTATTATAAAAATGCATAATATTATTTGGTTTCATGTTTTAAAATACGCTTACACTACTTGTACTTTTTTAAATTCAGTCCAGTTTCTCAAAGCTGTCTTAAAAAAGTGTGCATGATGAAAATCAAAGGTAAATCCACAGAAACTAGTACAGTCACACCTGTGTAAAAGAAGTGCCAGTGGCGAATCAAGTTCTAAATCTACTAGAGTAATTTATTTTCAAAGTAGCAGACACTGACCTTGTTACAGTGGTCTTATAATTACTTTATTTCTGTTCTACCAAAGAATAACTGTGATCAGATAAAATTATTCAAAGTTGTGACAATGTAGTGACTCTTAGTTCTGTCTTTACTGACCATCTACATTCAGATTGATTAACAAATCGTATTTACTGCATGCTTCAGCCAGTCATTTCTTTCTGTATGGTACCAAGCACATTAAAAGAACTGAGTTAAGTACTAAGATTTTTATCTTCAGTCTAACTTCTCTAGCTGCATTGAGAGAAGTTGTTTTAAAATACTGTGGTGAACACTTTATTTGTATGCATTTGTTTTGGGAAGATTTTTAGGATGATATTAATGAAGAGTTTGTCTGTTGCAGAAACATTTTGCAGCTGTCCTTGAAAAAGAAGAAAAAGTATCAAATCTTCATGAAGGAGATGAGCTTATTGAGGTTCCTATTGTGAGCCCTGCCACTCAAATTGTGCTAAAAGGGCTATTCATGGTTCTGCTATATCTTTTTAAAGATAACAACAGGTTGGTGGAAATATATAGCCTGAATTGTGGACTTTTTTTCATTCTCCTTTCTACCAGATATATTTAAATTGCAAGTGAGTGCATTTTTGTAAACCTCTGATTGTTTATAGGAAGATGGAAAGACGGCAAATATAAATATTTCCCCTAAGACATTTGGGTAGTTTTGGTACGCATGATAAAGGAAAAAAGAGCACATGTAGGAGCCAAGCACAGTGGAGGCATGCATAGTACAAACATGTTCCTGCTGCTTTGCCAAGTTGTCTCTTTCTCAACTATTCAGCACCTCTGCTATTTATTTCAGTGTCAGGTTTCTCCTGAGCAAAACCTACCAATTAAACAGGATTGTGCCAAAAAATTCTCATGTGGGTAAACATCCAGTAAGTAGTAGGTTGATATCACCAAATTAATTTTCTTTTTTATATAACTAAAATGTTGAGTATGGTTTCTCTAAAGGTCAGACTAGAATATTTTCTTGGCATGTTGCCTAACTCCAGTATGCAATTTAATTATTTTAAATTAACATTAAAGTGATCTAAACTACTCTTTTGATACCTTCACTCTTAAAGCCACTGTAGCTATTAAATATTTTGTTTTAGAACTAACTCTGTAATACACGGCTTAGCGATTATAGGGGCTCTTTATGTTTCTTAAATGGGAAGTCATATAACTTTTGAACCTCATATCTTAAATCATAATCTCTGTTTCTAGTGTAGAGTATGTTATTCCATATATTGTATGCACAGTTGCCAGCTCATTTTATTATAGGCAGAGTTTGGTACAGCATTAGGCTGGATGCTTAAGGTGGAACCACATTGTGTCAACACTGGTTTTGTTTTTTTCAGAGTTTAATGCTGAACTCACATGACAGATATTATGAAATATATTTAACACACACAAGTGCAGGTTACATCTATTTACCAGTTATATTAATTTACTTCTGTATAGATTTGCAGATGACTACAGAGTTGCTTTGCAACAAACATATGTTTGGACAAATGAAAAGCAACTTGATATTCCAGATAAAAATGCTTTTTTTGTACAACCAAAACATCAGAGGAGTTCACAGCAGAAAACAGCAGTCCATACGCTTAACTTTTGGTGCTTGAATCCAGCTGTGGTAAGCTAAGTACAAAGTGAACCAGCAACTCCTTACTGACCCTTATTTGATCACAAATACAAATATAATAGTTTGTACTGATTTTACAATTTTTTTTTTTTAATTTTCCCTAGGCCTTTTCAGATTTAAGTGGTAATGTCAGGACAATTGTTCTAACATCTGGTACGCTCTCTCCAATGGACTCATTTTCTTCAGAACTTGGTGTGAAGTTTACTATCCAGCTTGAGGCAAATCATGTTATTCATAACTCACAGGTAAATGTTTGCAGCATTGCTTTCACTCCTGCAACTTTAATATTCATTATAAATGGCAAGTTAAAATGAAGACCATATAAACTCTTTCTATTTCTATAACTCAAAATGGAAAGAGTAAAATAGACATTTACTTGCATTGAGAAAATTGTCAACTAAGTGTTTAAATGAAACTATACTTGATATATAATAATCCTAAATAAAAGTAGTAATAGTAGGAAAATATTATTTCACCAGTACAGCTAAAAAGTAAACACTACTGGTAACAGCACCTCTCACTTTGGTGACTTGCTACACTCCATTCTCTCTCTCTCTCTCTCTCTCTCTCTCTGTTTATTTATTTTATATTCTTGTTCCTTAGCATTAATCTTTTCAGAAATAATCTTAATATTTTGTTTACTTCAGTTTTTACATTCCCCTATTAAGTTAGTGTAAATATGTATATAACATTGAAATATTAATACAACAGGTTTGGGTTGGCACCATTGGGGCAGGCCCCAAGGGTCGGAAGCTGCATGCCACATTCCAGCATACAGAGACCTTTGAATTCCAGGATGAAGTGGGAGCACTTCTGCTTTCAGTGTGTCAAACTGTTGGCCAAGGGGTCTTATGCTTTTTGCCATCTTATAAGGTAAGGAAATTTTAATTCATATTCTTCTCTTTTAAAAACCCTACTTAAAGATTTACTCTGTAATTTTTTATCCCTATACATCAACATAGAAACAACAGCAGTATCCATGTTGGAATTGCTTGGATCCTGTAGTTGATTGGTTACAAGTTTGCTTTTGTGCAAGGTATGTTTTGTTTCATTATAGGAATAATATGAATATTATTGTTTTGATCACAGTTATCCAGAAAAGACTGGTTTGGGCCTCAGTGCAAGTGTGCTTATGTGCATTTGGCATCTGTTAGAAAGGGATCTCAGTATGAAAATAAATCTTGAATAGAAAGTGTAACAGTTCAGGGCAACTTTGCCCATATTCCCCCTCCATGGTCCAGCAAGGGCACCTACTCTTAGGCTTCCAGCTCCCCAGCTGTCTCCTTTCTTGGGTAGACACACCTCTTTGTTCTTTCAGACCAAGGTATTTCCAGGCTGCACAATTTCCTGCCTATACTGTGAATTCCCCAGTAAGACAGACTGCCTAGCAGGCCTGCTTTGCCTTCTACTCAGAGACTCTAAACAGCATAATTGTCCACTGGTTTAAGTTACCACACAGCTCTTTCTAAGCAAGTGCATTTATTCTTAAGGTAAAAGCATATTAAAAACAATGAAAGAACCTACATGGATGCTAATAAGTTTACTAGAAATCATCACCCCCATCTCCACAAGGGCTCTGGTCAGTATCAGTCCTTCCAATCCTTCCCTGAGGATTGGGGCCCTTCACTTGGACAGAGGGTCCTATCCGTTTATTGGATCAGAAAGAAGGCCCTGAGTCAATTTAAAATCAGATTATTTATCCAAAAGTCCTTTCTTGTCTGCTGGTCTCTAGAGAATCCAGTTGGAACCAGTATATGCCTCTTTCAAGGTGGTGGTGCCTCTCGGGACATGTTACAACCTGAATGAATTTGCCTAATTCCCCCCATTCCTCTTCCGCCTCCCCCCCCCCCTTAGTTCCTGGAGGGCTGTGTTCCCCTTCCCCCATGGAATTGCATACAATCCCTGGCCCACAGTGGTACATACACTTAATACAGTAAGATTTAACTTAATTCAATAAGGTTTGTTCTGGGTATTGCAGGAAATTGCCATATCTGTTGCAGAAAGATGAGATGTTCAGTGTTTTTCTTTGAACTGTCTCCATGGTCTAGCTTTTTAAAACCAGTTTTTAAAAAACTCTTACCATTCAATTGCCTATCATCAAAGGCAACTTTGTCATATGCATTGACTCAGCAATTAGGATGCCTTTTGCATTCTCTTTATATGCAGTTTGTATATAATATACAGTCGTTTCATTTCACTTCACTATGGATTTTAGCAGTGTTTTATTGAATCAAGTGGAAATTGCACAAAGCCCACTGTCCCAAGGGATCAATTTTCTTTATTTCAAAGCATGTATTACTAAATTTTATTGTTGATAGGAGGGTGTATCATATGGGTAAGACTATACCTCAGTGATAAAAAATGGAAGTTCGTATTCTTTTCCCATAGTTCTTATTGTACAGAACTCAAATCTGAGGAACAGTATAAATGTGCAATGTAATTAGGAGTACAGGTCTGTTTATTTCATCAAATTGTAACTGTGGTTGGATTGCAGTAAACAATTTAGTAAAATCAACAGTGGTTTAATGTAAACCTTTTAAAAATCAAAACTGGTACCACTGGAAAAACTGCACCAATTTGGAGCCGCTGATGCAGTTCAAGATTTCTGACCGCTTTGCTGATGTCAGAAGTCCCACAAGAAAGAGTAATTTAAAACCTGAAGGACTGGATAAAAAGAAAATGTCCTTTTGTGTGACACACTACATACATTATGTATATTTTAGATCAAAGGGAATACCAGTTCTTTATCTTGCCTGATGTCCATAAAGAGCTGCAGTCATCAGTGCAGTTACTAGAAATAACCATTAGGTGACCACATTAGACCATACAATGTAGAATTGGTAGAAGAAGGCAGACTATGAACTATAATCCATCATTCTAACTCACAAAATCACATGTATAATGTGCAAGACTAGCAAGCTGAAAATAAATCTTAAATTGTCTTCTAATTTTATATCTAAAATTGAATCCCAGGCATTATTTCAGTTTGTGATGTATTTATGTAGCGCAATAGTTGTGACAATGGTACTGTATATGTTGCGTGGACATTGGTTTTTGTGTGTATAAACAAAAGATATTTGCTAAAAAATTCTTTTTTGAGAGTAAAACTTATCTCCATTGAAAATGCTTAGAGACCTTGAGATCAGAGTAATAACTGGCATATTTAGTAAGAATGAAAGAAATTGCTGATCAGCTCAGGTTGTCACCTCCCTCTTCAAAACTCCAGTTGGCCTTATGCTTCACTGAAAGGACTACTGACAAAAAAAACATTAACTGCATGTCTACGCTGCAATAAAACACCTGTGGCTGGCTCAGGTCAGCTGACTTGGGCTCAGGCTGCAGGGTTATAAAATTGCAGAGTAGATATTTGAGCTCAGGCTCAGGGTCTCAGAACCTGGGCTCCTGCCCGAGCACAAATGTCTACACTGCAGTTTTAGAGCCCCACAGTCCAAGCCTTGTGAGCCCAAGTCAGGTGACTCAGGCCAGACATGGGTGTTTTATTGCAGTGTATACATACCCTACGTGTTTTTTCTTTGTGGAGGCACTTCCATGGACTTAGTGAAGGTATTGATAAATATAAATTTCAGAATTACTTTAAACACCAAAATACAGACAGACACCTACAAAAGTCTTAAATATAAATACTATATTAATACATTCATATGGGCCAGATTTTAAATGGAAAAGTCAGGAAATTGAATTGTTTCCCACAGCAACTTGAATTCAACCACTTAAACATATCTAGTATTTTGTTATACTGTATGTGGGGTCAACTTTTAGGACTTTATAAACAAAATATGCAATAAAGGCATTACAGTTACTATGGAACAAGTGATTTTTCTAACTTTTTTACATTTAGTATCATAATCATCCATGGAGTGTGGCGCTCCAGATATACACTTGTATCTATTTATATATGTTTTGATTTATTAAGAAGTGCCTACCAATATCTCTAGGCACACAGACCAAATTTTTCCAACTGAAGGGCTTAAAGTGAGGCACTGACATAAAAGTGGCCTGATTTTTATAAATTGAAGTCACAAAGGAATCACTGAGCTAGAGCATTCCACCCAGCCAACAGCAGAGCTTCTGTGTGAGCTGTGGAGGCTCAGTGGCTCTAAAAATGATTAATCTAGACAAACTAAAAATTCAGCAATAAAACTAAAATTAGAACTGAACATCTCATCACGACACTCAAAGACTCCCCCCTCCTGGTCTAACTTCATTAAGCTAAAATTCTAAATAAATAAATCCATATTACAGTATGCCTGGATCCTAAAACTCAAGCCAATCAAACCTGTAAGAGAAAAATGTTCCCCTCTCACTCCAAAGTATAAACTGGGACTGAAATAGGAATTGTGTTAGCTCTCAGAAAAACTAACCTATTCCAACAGGGAATGAGATATCCCACAACAATGATCTAGCAAGAAAACATTACCTTAGAATGTATTCAAATAATATTAATCCTACCTAAATGTAAATGATGCAATCAAACTTTTCAGAACATAAGATTTACTATACCAGATACAGTCCATGAAACATAGCATCTTGCCTCTGAAAAATCCTGACAGAGAACCTCTGAAATGCAAACTGGCAATTATGCAATGCTGTACATGATGATGGAGAGAAATTTTCTCTTACTCCTGTGATAACAAGTTTACAAAATCAGCTTTTTCTCAATTTTTTGTCCATATTAATTTCCCAGTCGTACAAGACAGCCCAATGCAGAATGAAAGAAATGGCATAAAAAGGGGCAGCAGTAGAGAAATATGGGAAATGTGATTTTAAAATATCCTTATTAGTCAACAGAATACTGCATCAGGAAGTCCTCAGGTTAACGTAGGAAAGCAAAGGTTAAGACATAGTCCCCAACACCAGGGATCTCTTGAGCCATGCTGCTGAAGGAACCATCTTGGTTTTCCTTTCTCTGTCCCTCCCTTTGTCAGGCCCAGGTGAGTGGTGTTGTCTCTCTGTGAGTCCAGTTTGTGGCATGGACACCTGTCACTGTATCCCTTTGTTCACCAGTGCAAGGTCATGCTCTGTTTCCCTATTGAGAGGTGAGGAAAAATCTCCTCTTGGCCGTTGGTCGCGAGGTGTGACTATCCCTGCAGTTGGTGTTTCCAGTGTCTCTTCTGGATCTTCCATTCACATGTGGAGCCCCTATTCAGTTGGTTAGTGCCTGTGGTCTCCAGCTAGGCAGCTATGCGAGTCCAACATCTTGTCCTTTCCCTTCATACTCAGTGCACAGTAGTACAAAGTACAGAGGGAAACTGAGGTGCACTAGGGAAGTTTAATACCTCTGAAGTTTAAGGCATTGTGGTGATTTGCTAAATAAATGTGCATATCTCTCTTTTATGAAACATGTTAATCAGCTTGTTAGTTCTCAAAGGGAGAAGCATCAGGAGCTGCTACTTCATAAATGGAATTAGTTTAATTTCCCATAAAAGCACATTATGTATTTCATGTATCTAGCACTTTAAATGTTTTCTTCCTTATTTATATAAAGAGAAGGTGTCAGGTTGAAACTAGCCTCTGAATATTAGAGTTTATAAAATATCTGCGTATTGCCTTTTTTGGGGAGAGCTCTGAAGCTATGATTTAACACTCAGGCATAAGTGTAAAGAATAGTAGTTATTGGATTTGGGAGATGAAGGAACCATGCTACTTGATGCAGTTTGTAACTATACAATGTCAAGTGACTAGAGCCAGGAAATAAGGAGTAGTCTATTATCAGTACCCATGTGTTGCACCTTTATTACATGGTGTCAGAAATAAAAACCATTTGTGGCAAAAGTGGAGCAAATGAAACCACCTGAATCCCCCAGTCTGGAAAGAAATAATTAGGAGTCAGCTATAATGTAAGTACGTACATTTCTCTCTGAAGATTTCAAATTACTTTACAAACATTAATGAATGTGTCCTTGCAAAACCTTGTGAGGTAGGAAAGTGTTATCCCCATTTTACTGCTGTGGAAATTGAGGTGCCAAGAAATATAGTGACATACTCCAGATCACATAAAAAGTCTATCAGAAAAGAAACACCCCAGACTTCTTGTGCCCTGACCTTAAGAACAAGTAGCAGCAAGTTTGAAAATTTTAATGTGCTAATAAGGAGATGCCAGTCAAAGACTGCATTAAACTAAACATATAGAGAGGAAGCTGGCTGTTCCTGATAAAACATCTCAGGTGAAATTTATGTGACCAATGCTCGTTGCTATAGAAACTAGCATCATAGTTATTTACTGCTTCCAGTGCTAACAGGTGCAAAAAGCATCCATTAAAGGCATCAATTTTTCTGTCAGTTGCAAGTTTCAATTTAGGTATACTTTCCTTTGGGAGAAAGTAGAGTCTATTGCATATTTCTCCTACTTCCATTGGATAGTAGTGGTGATTTGCCCTCTTTCTACTCAAGACTGGCCCTTAAAAATAAATGTTTAGAATCTATAGTCGTGTTTCTCAATGACTGATCTGTCGACTGGCACCAGTCCCTGAGATCTCCCTGACAGTTTAGGAAGGCAGCAAGCAGGTCCCTGATATCAAAAAGGTTGAGAAACACTAATCTGTAGGACATTACCCAACCATACTCTAACGATTTTAATGTATATAAAATTTTGAGCATAAACTACTTTATAGTAACCCATTTAAGAAGAAGTTTTTGACAAGCAGAGAAGATAGTTTCCAAAGCCTGTAATATCAGCTGTATTTTCTCTCTCCCTTTCCATATATTTTGTCATATTAACTGGACTAGTAAAAGAATAGATATAGTAGTTACATATTTTATTATTCAGTTTGCCAAGCTTGATTCATTCTTTAACGTTTCTTGTATCATATTTCCTTGTAAAAGAAGCATATAATATCCCACTAAAAATGAATAATTTCTGTAAATTACAGTTATCAATCACCAGTAATACTGTGAAAATTCTGTATAAATAATCTGTATTCTGATTCTTCCTTCTTAGTGATAGATTCTTGCCTACAGAAGGTAAATATAAATATATTAAAAGGAACAAACACTTTTTCATTCCTGAAGGTACCACTGCGATATGATGATAGAATACTATGCTTGCACAGAAAGTATGCTGTTGGTCTAACAAAACATTGAGAATATAAAATCTGTATATATTTTCACACAATTGAAATATTTCAAACATGTGAGACTTTAGTGTTTTGTCAGTTGTGAACAATGGGAAGTAGGGATTTCACGATGGGTATTCATTGTTCAGCATGCAGCCTATATATTTACAATGAAAAATTAAATTGAAATATATTTGTCAACTGTGCCTTTTTCTACTATGATTTCATAAATTCTGGATGTTCAGACTCCAAGCTGGAAGAGCTCTTTTTGAATGAAACCCGAATGAAGCAATTATGTGCAAGATTTAGCAAATTCTATGGCAGAAGTACAATGCCCTCATTCAGTGGAAATGTCCTCCTGCTCATCTAAAGGAGTGACGTCCTTTTGTATTAAAAAAATGTACCTTTCACAGCCTTTAGAGAGACACATACATTCAAAAACATACATTCATTGAGAATGTCAACTTGACACTAAGCTGTAAATGAAAGTCCAACTCCCTGAATCGTCTTCCTGAAGCAAAAGTATGATCAGCAAACTAGGGCTTTTCTGTTCTCTGTTTGATTAGTGGGGCAAATATTTCAAGACTGTTGCTCCCTGCAAGTCCTCATTGAGAAACACCCTAATTGCAATCCACCAGAGTACATTTTTGGGAATTTTTTCTCTAAACTTTTGGAATGGGGCATGAAGACAGAGATGGTTCACTACATAGCCAAGACCCAAACCACTTGTAGATATAACAATCAGCACCTTGGATTGTGCCCAGAAACCAGTTTGAAGCCACAGACTCTATATATCTATGATCCTATATAGGGAACTAACTAATTGACATAACATAAGTGAGCCCAGGTCTCACGCTCTTGCGAGGATAGCGAGACTGGAAATTATTAAGCTAGCACCTAAGAGGGGTTATGAGTTTTCTTAAATAAATAAAAATGTTTAAAGGATTTTTGGAGTCATCAAGTGGTATATATTGTTAGCTCATGTACACACATTATTATTATTATTTCTTCTTATAATTACTGCTACTTTTGTCCTCCCTTGCTCTTCCCTCTTATTGTTTGTTATATTCACTCACTGCATCTTGTTTTCAATTATATGGTAGTTCTGTGAGGCAGGAACCATGTGTATCTGTATGTTTGTACAGAGCCTAACACAATGAAGCTCCAATCATGATCAAGGCCTTTGAGCAATACTGTAACGTGTGTGTGTGTATATATACAAATAATGTACTAAGAATAAACATCATATAAAACGTTAGTTTTTAATATAAAATTTAGAGAGATGCTGAAATAGTTTAATTCGGTTTATATATGAAATATCAATAAATACCTACTTACAGATTTAAAATTTTCTAAGTAAAATAGCCTTATAAAATGGCTTAACCTGAGGGAAGGAGTTGATTGGCTGGTAAGTAAGTTCAGCTTCTGTGTATTTCAATAGATCACCATAAGTTTGACCTTGTTAGCCACAGAATTTTATATCAACATGCTCACAAAAAGAAAGGAAAATTAGTGTGTGTGGTGGTGGGGAGGGGAGACACAGTTTTGTCTTATGTTGTATATTCAGAGAACTGCTACTGGATTTAAAGTGCGTTAGTCTTTTAGGGTATGTCTACACAGCAATGTAAGCCTAGAGTTAGTGGGACTTGAGTCAGCTGACCCATGTCATGGAAACCCTGGGCTTGAGCATCTACTTGCATTTTAACCCTAGGTTAAGGATTTTCTCACCCATTCTCAAACCTAATGCTCTGGCGTCCACACTGCAGCGCACAGACCAGAATCAAAGTAACTCTATCCCAAAGTGCCTAGTGCTCCCCCTCCACCTCAGTGTCGACACTCTAGCCCTATGAATGTGTTGCACTGTGGGAAAACTCTATTAGGGAGGTTTGATTTTTTTTACCCTATTAAAATAGTATTTCAATAAATAAAAACAAGCCTTTTCTTAATAAAACCACTATTTAAAAAAATGCTGTGTATTACATATGCCAGATATCTGAGATTAATAACCCAGTATAGTAAAATATACATATGAGATGGAAACAATGCATCTCACACAATTCTCTCATAGCTTCGCATCCTGTTCTTACATATTGAACCTGCAGTAATGTACAGGCAATCAAAATTCTGTCACTTTTACTTTGAAAGTGTTTTTAAATTTGGATAAATTTTACATTAAAATGCAAGTCTAGACAATTTTTGAAGGTTAGTACATTACTGGAAAACAAACTGATGATATTATGCAACAAAAATGCATTTATGTTAAAATCAGTAGCAACTCTAGCAAAAACACTCTATAAAAGAGAATATCAGAAAGTGAAAAGATTACTCAGAAATCTAAGATGCTTTTAAACAAGATTAAGATAAGGGCCATTAGGGTTCATGTCGCCGACCTGTCTGCATTAAGATACATCTTGCCTGGTGCCTGCATCTGAGATGATTCATTCAATATGTGTCATATCAAAGTCAAAGTACCCCGCAAGGAGAAGAATGCTAATGCTTATAAATTTTAGTGATGATCCATCATGATGAGTTAACTGACCTTTCTTTGGGATCTATTACAATAAATTGTAATATTTAGTCCCTTCTATGAGCCCCTGTTGATTTCCTGTGAATGTTGATTTCATAACTTTTTAAATAAAATTTAAAAATAAGACAATTGTTCAGTGTGTTGAGTTTCTCAGTTTACAAGCTTCACCAATAAAAAGAAAATTATTAATTAATTGAAGCATGAGACATAGTTTTCTTTGTTTTCCTCTTTCTTCATTTCCTCCTTTACCTTTCAAAAGGCAAATGTCTTCCATTGATTCAGACTTTAATCATATTTCCTCGCCATGTGATATTCAGGACCTTTTTCAATATGTTTTAACTTTTCAGTTGGTCTGGCAAAGTTCTGCTTGACAGTTGTAGGGTGATGGTGTGTACTGTACAGTACGCTGTACCAAATAGCTGTATATAGTGTGTGTAGAAGAGATTTCAGCGATGTCATGGGTTCTAATCTAAAATGATATAAAATAGTTTAGGGTGTTTTTTTCTTGTGAGTCTCTTAGAAATTGTTGAACATGATTCAGGCCTTTAAAACTATTTTATCTAAAACCTATTATGCATTTACATCTGTAATTGCTGCTTTTAAACTGTAATTTTCACAGCAGTTGTATTATTGTGCATTGCAATACAGAATTGATAATTCTTTGAGGTTCATTCTGTAACTATGGTACCATATGCAATCATTTTGCTTTGACAGATCAATAGCAAAAGCAGTAGTGATCATGACACAAGTAGAATAGATAATATCTGAAAAGCCACCAATCCTTTGTTATATTGGATTCACATGAGACCTTTTAGCCATATATAATTTCCAGCAATTGAGCCGGTTTTTGTTTTGGGGTGTATTTTAAAATGGAAAAGAATGTAGAAGGCTTGCGACTGGTTCATGTTTTTCAAAACAGTTTTAAAATATTATCTACTCTACTCCACTCTGATTAGGCTTCAACTGGAGTATTGTGTCCAGTTCTGGGCACCATATTTCAGGAAGGGTGGGGTCAAATTGGAGAGAGTCCAGAGAAGAGCAACAAAAATGATTAAAGGTCTAGAAAACCTGGCCTATGAGGGAAGGTTGAAAAAATTGGGTTTGTTTAGTCTGGAAAAGAGAAGACTGAGGGGGGACATAACAGTTTTCAAGTATGTAAAAGGTTGTTACAAGGAGGAGGAAGAAAAATTGGTTTTCTTTAAACTCTGAAAGTAGGACAAGAAGCAATGGGCTAAAATAGCAGAAAGGGAGGTTTAGATTGGACATTAGGAAAAACTTCCTAACTGTCAGGGTGGTTAAGCACTGGAATAAATTGCCTAGGGAGGTTGTGGAATCTCTATCATTGGAGATTTTTAAGAGCAGGTTAGACACACACCTGTCAGGAATGGTCTAGATAATTAGTCCTGCCTTGAGTGAAGGGGACTGACCTAGATGACCTCTCGAGGTCCCCCGAGTTCTATGATTCTATGATCATATGTTTGTCAACTGCTAGACAGTGTGATATGGAGTTGTCTGGAGATCCAGACCTCCTAATATATAATGTACTGACTCAGGTTAATAATTTGAAAAATTATTTTACTTTCTGAACACTAACAACTACAATATAAAGAGAAAACAAAAATATCTGGCATAAACTGGGCCCTACATCCCTTCAGTTTGTGCAGTACCTTTCTCTCCCATAGCCTCCACTAGACTGAGATCTTTCTGGTAAGGCTGGATGTTGCATCCTAGAGAAGATTCTCATCATATCTTAATCTTAAAGAAGCAGACCTTTTCCTGCTGGCATTCACCTAGCCCTTCACTAGGCATTACAATTGGGGGGAAAAAAGGGAAATACATCAGAATAATGATCGTCAATATTTACAATTGTAAAGTAAAGGGAGAAAAAAAGAAACTGACTAATGCTACTTCTAGGATATAGGTAACTAATGAACTCTGGTTCCACCAGGGAGAAGCCTAGAAGGTTACCCAATTCTGAGCTGAACTCAGTTCTTGAAATAGTAATCTCCTTAACCAGATGAATTTAATAAACACACTTTTAGGTCACCATCACAGGTGGAATTAAACTTTGAGATCAAGCTATAAAGATAAAAATATTGTTGCTTGCAATTCACAGGAGGTGTGGATTTTTCTGAAAGTTCATACCACCTCAGGTTCCAATGATACCCGGAAATTGCAATACCTGGAACTTGTACACAGGGAAGGGTAAGAGATACAGTAACTCTGAGAATGCATTCATTCCCTTATAGGTAGTTCATTGAACAAGGTTTACAAATGTACAACTCACCAGTATTCTGGAAATTTCACTTATTAATTTGTTGATTAAAACTTTTAAAAGGGAGTCAATACTAGTCTGCAACAAGGTTTTGAAATAGTCAATT